ATAGTCAATAATACTGTAATAACTGTATGGTGCCAAGTGGGTAATAGACTTATCAGGAAGATCATTTTGTAAGTTATATAAATATCTAACCATTATGCTGTACAACTGAAACTAATATAACATTGAATATCAACTGTAATTGAAATTTTAAAAAATATTTTAAATAAATAAATAATAAGGCCAAGAAAACACATGCTGATATAAAAGGGAATATGTTGTCAACATAATGGAAGAGTACAAGTTCTTGCAAAAAGTATTCAAGTACTGGAAATGAAGAATGTGGTCCCTAAACAATGACTTGCTTTTGCATAGGTCACTAGCAGGTACCATAATAATCCTATCCACACAGTAACAGACTTATTAAATAGTTTACACTGGAAAGAAAAAATATTTTCTTCTAACAAAACTAGAGGCCTGATGCACGAAATTCATGCACGGGGCTCAGCCCTAGCTGCCATGGTGGCTTGCCTCAAGCCCTCGCAGCCCCGGCTTCGTCTGGAAGATCGCCAGAAGTTTGTTTGGCTGTCCAGTCTAATTAGCATATTATGCTTTTATTATTATAGATGTTATACATAGAATTAAATTACTGGGCATCTACACTAATAAAGGTGAAACATGCAAATTGGTGGCACTCTGCTATGCCCACCAGCCAAAGGATGAGTATGCAAATTAACCCAACAACTATGGCGGGTTAATTTGCATACACAGGCGCAGAGCAAAGACTGAAGGCTCCGGCCCCAGCAAAGACTGAAGACAACTGAAGACTGAAGAGGCTTGCATCTCCGCTGTGGCCTGAGTGGAGACACCAAGCCTCGCTGCGGCTGGAGCGGAGAAGCATAGCCTCGCTGCGGCCGGACCAAAGGCCTGGGTCCCAGGTGCCAGAGGAAAACCGGTGCTGGCAGCCAGGGGAAGGAAGGCCTATTGCACGAATCTTCATGCAATGGGCCTCTAGTATCATTTATAATTCTAGATTTCAAATAATAGCATTTAAGAGTAGGCTTCTGGTTTCCAATTCTTAATGTCTTCAACTAAAATTTATAATAAACCACTCATTCTCATCATGGGATGCTAATAAGTTGAACTGTAAAGGTGGATTGGGCAGTATCTAACAGCAATTTGAGAGAAGAGTCTACTCTTTTGCCAATAATGATTTCTGAACACAATTTTTAACAAAAATATGATTACCTGTCTAATTTCCTTATGATTCTGAGATTAAAAACTCACTTTCAGAATCCTACATAATAAAAGACTAATATGCAAATCAACCAAACGGTGGAAACACCGGTCGCTATGATGTGCACTGACCACCAGAGGGCAGATGCTCAACAGGAGCTGCCCCCTAGTGGTCAGTGCGCTCCACAGGGTAGCGCCGCTCAGCCAGAAGCCAGGCTCACGGCTGGAGAGTACAGCGGCAGTGCCAGGGCTAAGGATGTCTAATTGCTGGTTCAGGCCCGCTCCCCAGCAGTTGGACATCCCCCAAGGGCTCCCGGACTGCAAGAGGGTGCAGACCAAGCTGAGGGGACACCCCTCCAACCCGAGTTCAGGATTTTTGTGCACCGGGCCTCTTGTAAATAATAAGCAAGTTACTTTATGGCAATAATAGGTTAAAAATCCAAGCTCACAACCTTGGAATCTTTCCGTCAATAGTTTACTATGGGTAAGAGGAGTGGGGGAAGGGAGAGGCAGACAAAAACTGAAAGAATGGAACGTGCTTCAGTGGAGCTCTACAGTCTTGAAATAAATGTGCCCTAATCACTCTGGGATTACCTAGTGATTCAAACCTGATTGGATAATAAACCAGTAAAGAGACTTTTCAAACTAGTTGGATCTCTATGATATATCCACCAGATTAAGATAAAGAAGGTAAAATCAAGACACATGAATTTAAAAATTCTTAACTTATAACTAGATATTTTTAAAAGTGTTTTCTATATAGTACATTCTATTCTTTCCAAACCAACCTTTTTCCCAAACTCCAAGGTTATATAGCTAACTGTGTACATTAGAGCTCCACTTGGATATCCAGCAGGTATTTGAATTTTATCATGTCCTGAAATCTGCTCCTCCTACAAAACCTGTTCCTCCTTCATCCACGCCTTTCACAGTAAATGGCACCTCCATAAACCAAAACTTGGATTATCTTTGATAACTGTTTTTCTCACATTCCCCCACAATCAAACCATCAGCAAAACCCTTTAAATATATACCAGAAACTGATAAGTTCTCTTCACCACCCAACTATAGCCAAGTCCAAGCCACTGGGATTATTAAAATAATCTCTTAACTGTTCTCCCCACTATTCCCTTGCCTCACAAATCTAACCTCAATAGAACAGTCAGAACGGTCTGTCACAACTAAAATCTGATATTATACTTCTGCTTAAAAGTCCAATGGATTCTTCTCTTATTTGGTATCAGTTCTAATGTCATTCAGTTATCTTTATAGTTTTGTTTTGTTAATCCTCACCCGCGGATATTTTACCCACTGATTTTTTTTTAGAGAGAGTAGAAGGAAAGGGGAGAGATAAAGAAACACTGACACAACGATTGACTGCCTCCCACCTGGGTCCCGACCAGGCTGGGGATCAAGCCTACAAACTGGGTATGCCTTACCCTTGACCGGAATCAAACATGATCTTTCAGTCCATGAGCCAAACCACTAATCACTGAACCAAACGGCTAGGGCTCATTCCGTACTATATTAAACTAATACCACCTAATTTCTGAAAAGTTGTCCATCTATTTTCACACAAATGAAATGAAGTACTAGTACACAAGCAATTAAGAAACAGAGATAAGATTCTTTTGGTCTGAGATGGTGGTTTAAGTCCATTATTAACCTCCTCCTTTCACAAATTTCCAGTGAAACAACCAAAAAACTATAAAACTAGAAGGAAAATCTTCAAGGTAACCTAAAAGTGATAGTGAGCAGGACTAGAATTGTTGGAGGGCTGACCAAACCCAAACTGAACCTACTTGGGGCAAGCCTCCTAAGGGTCGGGTCAAGATGAGGATACATATGGAAAATCTCAGTTCTGCAAATGCACTTGGGGATATGCTAAGGGTGCTATCACATAGAACAAGAATGTGCAGAGGAAAACACTAATATGGCTAAAACCTAACAAGGCAAGTGTGCCACAAAAGAGTGAAGTAGTACCCCAAATAACTTTAGAAGACAAATGTTTCAGAGTAAACAGAGACACTCCCTGTCACTAGAGCTTTCCCCTTTATCACAAGCAAGACACTGTTAATCTAGCATTGATAAGGTATAATAAACATCAAATTATCCCTTTACATTTCCTGGGATTAAAAAAATTTAAACAGTAACATACACAATTTCTAAATATAAAATTAAAGTTACAAATAGTAGTTCATAATTAGAAATACCAGTAAAGCTATTTTAAAAAATTTGTAGCTGAAACTTTTTGAAAACGTAGATAGGCTCAAGCAACTCTTGCAAAAGGACCTTGGTTCCACTTTGCTGGTGGGAAGCAGGGGGAAAGCCCTGGCTCCTTTAGTGGAACAGTGTTTCCTATCTCACTACCAACATTCAATTTGCTGCCATTCAGTTCATAAATCTTTACAGGGCTCTACAAGCATCTATCTCTTTGACTCTACACTATCAGTCCCATGTACAAGCATACTCTTTTCCTCCCTTCTTACCCCCATCAGGCCTGCCACCCATTTCTGTTTTATTTTATGAGCAAATCTTACAAACAAGGCTACACTAATACTATTGCCACTTCCACACCTTCTATATCCCCTTCAGTTCACTATAATCTTATTTCTGACTCCCTCACCAATGCACTGAAAATGCCTATCAAGGTCACCTCAGCTGACAACCTCTAGCAGCATTTCACACAGTTGACTCAGGATACACTCCCTATACTTTTTTTGACCAAGAAATAAGTTTCGAAGAATATGTAATTACATCTTATGAGGTAGTGTTCTTAAGAAATAATGACCCAGAAAACACAAAAGTTACGACTATTAATAATGAAAAAACTGTGTCAACCTGTATCTGGTGACCAAAGAGACAAAGGAAGACAGGGTAGCTGTGTACAGAAACCATTAAGAAATTTAGGAATGCTAATAAACAGTCAGCAGCTGTCCAAGTTCATGCATACAATTCGATGTTTCGACTTGTATCCGGGTGTGGAGGGTAACAGGTGATTGCATTATCCCAACAGTCTCACTGGTAAAGCATACATAAGCTGTGACAGCTGCTGAGTATTTTGGAAGAAGTAACTGAGTTGCAACTGTGAAAACATATACTACATTGTATTAAAAACTATCTTTTTAGGTGAAGTACTTTTTTTTTGAGGTAATTAATTAATTAATTAATTTTAATATATATATATATTTTTAATTTATTTTCAAGACAGAGGAAGAAGGAGAGGGAGAAAAACATCAGCCAGCTGCCTCCTGCACGCCCTCTACCAGGAGACCCGGGCACATGGAAATCGAACCGGCAATGTTTCGGGGCACAGGACAAAACCCAACCAACTGAGGCACACCAGCTAGGGCTCAAGTGCTTTTTAAGATTTAAACTATCTAATCTCCCAAAATGAAATAAAATCCGCCACTCTGGTTACCATGCTGTATTTCTCTCTCTCTCTCCTACCTGTCCCTTCCTCAAACAAAGGACTGGTAAAGATGATATAGTAAATAAAGTGTTAAGGGTCTCAAATTTAATTACATTATTATTGTTAACACTGACATGCACGATTTAGATGACATGGAATTATAAAACTTTTCTCATTAATTAATAAGTTTCTCATACTAGAAACTTAAAATACATTCAAAATAAAAAATATAACACTTAAAAATATATAGCTTAACTTCAAAACAATCAAAACATGTTCATAATATCCTAATTAATTTAATAGAAACGCCAATCCCTAAAGTACACGTTATTAAGTACAAAGCTCCTATTATAACAATTTCATCTTCCTGTTTACACCAACCCTGAAACATCTTCCATACAGTATTGAAACACACCTGGTTTCGTCCTCTGCGTTTTCCATAATTCCTTCTAACTAGGGCTTTATAATTCTCATTTTTCTTGGTTAAGTAGTAATATAAAACACAATCAGGAACACTCTATAAGTAAAAAAGAAATATTTTTGAGAATCCAATGAATTAAAATTTTTAAAAAATCAACACTTTTGAGGAAAATTTCTGGTTTTCTCAAGGTATAAATTGAGATGAAACACACATAACGTAGCTGGACTCTAAAAATGTACATTTTATGTCTACTACTTTAATGGGCAATATAAATTACATAAAAAATACTAGGAACTATCAGAAACATTCAACAACTTTCTTATTAATCAGTCACTAAATTCCTATTCTTACTGCATATATATAAACATTCAAATTGTCTCTTTAAATATTTTCCCCAAAAACACTGCATTCAACCCACTGTGAAAAAATTCAGGAAAAATCAGGACCATGGTATTATAATTAGAAATTTAATGAGGTTAAAAAAGCATTGTAATCTATGTGTTTTTAGAAAAATACAAAATCAGGTTATTTTCATTAACCATGAATATTATCAGTCTGTGTTCTGTGCTAAGGATTTGTGAGCATATAATTGTAAATATCACTATATTAATCACATGAAAATCTTTTCTGTAGCAAGCCCTTTGCAACAATCAGATGCCATTAACTATTTTTGGGTATTAGAGCATAAAATTTCAAAGTAGCAACCATCAAAAACTATACACATTCTCAATGCCAACCATTTCTCACCTTTCTTTCCAAGTAGGATGCAATTAGTCCGAAGTTTTTTGGATGCTGGATAAACCTGCATAAAAAAACACACACAACAACAACACACACACACAGACAAACATTTTAACAACTCAAAAGCGGAGGGGTGTGGGTGTGTGTGTGTGTGTGTGTGTGTGTGCGCGCGCGCAAACCTCAAGAATAGAAATATGTACCAACTAAATCCCAGTGGTTCCTAGCTGCCTACCTGAGGAACAACTGTAATATCACTGGAACCTTTTAAAGGGCACAGATTCCTGTGCACCATCCACCAGGAAATGACTGGACTGGTCTATGATAGAGCACAGAAATCTGTACTTTTAAAAAGCACCCCCAGATGATTCAGATACCACCCATGTTTGGGTACCTCTCTTAACCTGACTTCATAACCCCAGTTCTTATCTGTTACCTATATTTCCACCTATAAACTTATGGGAAGAACACCTCAAATCTATATTCTCTACGTTGCAGTATCAATTCAAATGCCAAAACGGGGAGCTGTTTTTTGCTAACTATGTAAGCTTCAAGTGGATAAGAATTTAAAATTTAAATTACTTGTCCTTAAAGATCTCCTTCTCATGGTCAGTCCAAACATTCATAAACTGCCTATCTTTATAAATCTTCATGGGGTCCTCCATAAGCCCATTCATGTTAATGAACTTGACCCGTCTTTGTTCTGCATCAAACATCATAGGTGGAATCACAGAGAGCTGCCGCATTTGTTTCTCATTATTCTGGAAAAAAAAATGCAGTTTACATAAAATAAAATCTAAAGAGGGTCACAGACTGTCTTAATATATACTAAAAAAACAAAAACCCACATACATATGTAGTTCAATGACAATAGTAGTATATACCATAAATCTAGAATGTAGTAATTACTCAAATATCTAATAAGTATCCATTCAATGAATAAGAGTCAGAGTACACATATCCTATATAATAAAAGCCTAATATGCTAAGTGTCTGACCATTTGACCAGTTGCTATGATGCGCACTGACCACCAAGGGGCAGACACTTGACCAGTAGGCTAGCTTGCTGCTGGGGCCCGGCCAATTGGGACTGGATGAGATGGCTGGACATGCCCTGGAGCCTTCCCACGGTCCCTCCCTGGCCCCAATTGTGTACCAGTGGAGTCCCTCGACCTGGCCTGCCCCCTCTCGCAATCCAAGACCCCTCAGGGGATGTCAAAGAGCCTAATCCCACAGGCCAAGGCAAGGGACCCCACCGGTGCCCAAATCTGTGCACTGGGCCTCTAGTATTTGTTATAATCTAATACTACAAATTGAGAAGAGGGTTTATTTTTTTTAAGTTATTTATTGGGGTGACATTGGTTAATAGGATTATATATGTTTCAAGATAAATTTCTATGACACATCATCTGTATATTGCATTGTGTGCCCACCACGCAAGGTCAAATCATCTTTCATCACTATATATTTGGCTTCCCTTACCCTTTACTACCTCCCTATTCCCTTACTTAAGGTAACCCCATACTGTTGTATGTGTCTATAAATTTTGGTTTTATATCCCACATAAGTGAAATCATACGGTTCTTAGATTTTCTAACTGACTTATTTTGCTTAGTATAATATTCTCAAGATACAACCATGTTGTCACAAATGGCAGTATTTCATCTTTTCTTATGGCTGACTAGTATTCCATAGCATATATGAACCACATCTTCTTTATCCAGTCCTCTATGGAAGGACACTCTGGTTGTCTCCATGCCTTGGCCACTGTGAATAATGCTGCAGTGAACATAGGAGTGTATACATCTTTGTGAATAATTGTTTTTGAGTTTTTCAGGGAGGTATCCAGGAGAGGAATTGCTGGATCATATGTTAACTCTATTTATAATTTTTTGAGGAACTACCATACTGTTTTCTAGTCATGAATGAGGGTTTCTTTTTCTCCAACACTTATTACCTGTCTTGTTGATAACAACCATTCTAACAGGTGTGAGGTGGTACTGTCGTTTTGATTTATATTTCCCTAGTAGCTAGTTAAGTTGAACATCTTTTCATATATCTGTTGGCCTTTGGTATGTCTTCTTGGGAGAGGTATCTGTTCAGGTCCTCTGCCTATTTTTTAATTGGATTATTTTCTGTTTGGTGTTGAATTGCATAAGTTCTTTGTAGATTTTGAATTTTAACCCCTTATCTTCTATTCAGCTGGTTGCCTTTTTGTTTGTTGGCAGGTTTTTTCGCTGTGCAAGAGCTTTTTAGTTTGATATAGTCCCATTCATTTATTTTTCCCTTTACTTCCCTTGCCTTTGGGGTTAAATTCATAAAATATTCTCTATGACCAAGATTCATAAGTTTAGTACCTATGTTTTCTTCTATGTCATTTATTCTTTTAGATCTTATATTTAGATTTTTGACCCATTTTGAATTAATTTTTTAGATGGGGAAAAACTGTAATCTAGTTTTATTCTTCTGCATGTTGCTTTCCAATTTTCCCAGCACCATTTATTGAAGGGACTTTTTTTTTCTCCATTGTGTGTTTTGGTTCCTTTGTCAAAAATTATTTGCCTATATACATGTGGTTTTATTTCTGGCCTCTCAATTCTGTTCCACTTGTCTGCGTGTCTGCTTTTCTGTGAACACCATGCTATTTTGATTATCGTAGCTCTATAGTAAAATTTGAAGTCAGGTAGTATGATACCTCCGGCTTTTTTCTTTTTTCTCAGAATTCTTTTGGCTATTCAGAATCTTTTGGGATTCCATACAAATCTGATCATTTTTTTTGTGTGTAATTTATTTTTAAAATGACTTTAGAATCTTGATGGGGATTGTATTAAATCTTTTTTTAAAATTAAATCTTTATTGTTCAGATTATTACAGTTGTTCCTCTTTTTTCCCCCCATAACTCCCCTCCACCCAGTTGCCACCCCACCTTCTGCCCTTACCCCTACCACTGTCCTCATCCATAGGTGTATGATTTTTGTCCAGTCTCTTCCGGCACCTCCCACACCCCTTCCCCCCGGAGAAGTGTCAATCCACTCCCTTTCTATGTCCCTGATTCTATTATAATCACCAGTTTATTCTTTTCATCAAATTATTTATCTTCTTAAAGGATACCTTTCAGCATTTCATATAATACTGGTTTGGTGGTGATGAATTCCTTTAGCTTTTCCTTATCTGTGAAGCTCTTTATCTGACCTTCAATTCTGAATGATAGCTTTGCTGGGTAAAGTAATCTTGGTTATAGGTTCTTGGCATTCATCACTTTGAATATTTCTTGCCACTCCCTTCTGGCTTGCAAAGTTTCTGTTGAGAAATCAGCTGACAGTCGTATGGGTATTCCCTTGTAG